AAGCCAGAGCATGAACAGAGTGGTGGACTGAATCCCAGCCAGCAGAGCAAGGGAAGCGGAGTGCTTTTGTACAGAAGGTTGGCTTGCAGAGTGGCGTGCCTCTGGGCACCTAATTCAGGGAGCTGTGCTTGTTGACCCACGGAGTGTAAGCTGAATGCCTTGGGCTGGAGGCTTAGCAGAGTGGTATCCCTCTTTGGGGCACCCTCAGCCTGATAACTCCATCCTGAGCATTTCTCACTGGCATTTCAACTTGTTAACTTCCTTAATAAACCTCTTAATCAAGAATTTTGTCCGAGTTCTCTGTAGTCATTACAATGGGTATTAGAAAATAGGAAAAAAAAGATGACGCTAATTAAGACTGCATAATAACCCAACACATTTTATTGGATCATGCATTAAAATACTCTTTCCTCCTTTTCCTTGACCACAAAACATGATTTCAAAGTAGTGAGAACCTTTTACAAAATCCCACGTTGGTTATTCTCAAACTATTTTAAGGTTTTCGAAGTATTAAGTTTGTTTCTGATTCGCACCATTGTATGAAGAAAAGAATGTAGGGATGTTACAGTCAGAGCCAGTCAACAGCTGAAGCCCACATAGCCACGAAGCTGCGCAATGAGGGACCAGGCCCACTCTCCTGGGCTGCCAATGCGTCTTTTTTCACATGTGCTACATCCAGAAAAGTGGCTGTTTTGAAAACTTGATCCGTGCTTTAAAAAGTTACACAATAAAGGCATCTTTTAATCTCCTTTAGTACCAGAAACACATTTAAAGATACTGGTCTATAAAACAAACAAACAAACAAGCCTGTAAAGATGTTACGATGGCTGGGAACTAATTCATCTGTCACTTCACGAGAACTGAAGTCTTGGAATTTTACAGGTTTGAAATCAGAAGTCAATATAGCATTCCTTTTTCAATTAACAGCTTTGAGTTAATTAAGTATTATTAACAGAAAGCTTTTCCAATTCTGATGGGACCATAAAGGTCTTTGAAGCTCATTTCACCTTCCTTAAAATGGAAACCCCTTTCCCATCAGCCGTACTTACTGAGAGTCCTAATTTTGCAAGAATAATTTTTCTCTTGAAATACAAGAACCCTGTTTCTAGCTTAGACGTTCTTTCCCTCCCACATGGACTATACTAAATGTAACACAACATCACAGCATTTCTACCAGGGTTCATTTTACACCTCAGTTGTATTACCTAAAATTTTGCTTTTCTCTTTAAAAAATGAAATCCTTAAAAAAAATTTGAAATCTTAGAAACTACAAAAATAAGTTAACTAGAAAGATAGCTCCTAATTTGAATAGCCAGTTAAGGCTATTTAACCCCATTCCTGCAGCATAAACATAGGAACCACACAGTTCTTCAAATACTTCTCAACATGCAGACGCCCCAGAGTTAATGTGACAAATCAGCCAATACTCAAGTTCTCTAAACAACTTTTGTGATTTTGTTTACCTCCCATATTGTCAAGGAAAACAATCTTGTAGATAAGGTGGATGAAATGCTTGAATATAAAATTTAGTATTTCATATTAGTGGGTTAAGTGTTGGGTTGCTATTGGGAACGTTAGTGCTTGCAAGTGGTCATGAGGCTATCTGCTTCCATGAAGATTCACAGTGCTGAGAACCCCTTGGCAGTTACGCGTTGTCCTCAGGCTTGCTGTGAGTGGAATCAGCTCCACGGCACTGGCGGTGGTCATAGAGCACGTAACAAAATTTGAAGAATTGGTTGCTTTCAGAAATCATATTATCCCTGCACCAAGTCTACCATTAAAAAGATGTTGACAGTGAATTCTTTTTAACACAGGGATTCAAGTTATTTTACAAATTACAATATGTAGTCCATATCCCTAGCACAGGTCCTTAATTGAGGCAGTTCTTAAGAATGTATTTCTAAGTCTATGGGTATACCTTTATCTACATCTCATTCCCTGCTCTTCAACTTCTATCATGAGAGTTCATGAGTCTGTATAGACTAGCTCTGTGTAAAGACCTTTTATTCACAGTACACAAAGCCAAACATCTACAGATAGGACCTGCATCTTTCAAACAGCTTTTCTGTAAGATTTCACTTTTCAAGAGACCATCTGCAATACTTATCTTTAGAGTCCTGCATTTCTGATTCGGGTGAGTTCCCTTGTCGAGCCACTATTACAATAACTTAAAAATTCATAGAAGCTCCTCAAATGCCAGTGCCTGCATACACCTGCAGAGTGCAAACAGCATGAGGCTTGGGGCAGCAGCCACGCAGGGAGGAGGTTGGTTCTGACAGCAGGCCACCTGGCTCTGAGTGCACTGCTCCCCAGAGCTTGCCTTCCGAATGATACAATAACGTGGCCACTCTGCAGTGGATTGCCCCTTCTGTTTTTATAATTGTCCTATCCAGTGACATCTCACTACACATTTCCCAAAGGGTATACTTGAAAATGAGGGCAGGCATGGTGACCACCTACAGGAAATGAAGTGAAGCAGTGCTACGATGTTCCTTTGACTTCGTGGGGATGCTTCGGAGATAGTGCACACGGGAATGGCCAAAACTTACCCGAATCAGAACTGCAGGACTTGACTCACAGTGACCACACAGAGAGGACAGCACCGCCCCACAGGCTGTCACAGGCTATACTCGTTATAGAAGCGGGCTGTGACATGCTTCTCTTGCAGAGAGATCGGTGAGTTCAAATCCCAGACCCTGTGGTGGGTGGCCGAGTGAGTTAACCGTGGTGCCCCAGCTGGCCTAACTGGCCACCAACAGCTCAAAGAAAACGAGGCCAATCCCAGTCAGCACTGAGAATTCTGCCAGGCTTGTCTTTATCACATCCCGATTTTCTTTTAGTCTTTATCTGTGGTCCTTACGAGGAGAGGAGACACAGTGATAAGCCTTCTTCCCATTTCAAAGGGCTTCCTGTTTAGCCCCTCTGCTCTTTCCCTTTATTAAAAAAATGGAAAATTTTTCTATTATCTACACTTCATGGGATAGCAGACTGGAGACCTGATTTGACTGAATTTTTATCAATGCCTTAACCGGGTATTTTAAGTCTTTAACGCACATATGTAAAATGAAATGTTTATTCTTAGGAATTTTAGATTTCAGCAGGAAGAGGTGGTCTAGATGGAAAGGCAGAAGGGTCCCCTTTCTCCTAATCATTACAGGGATAAGGTCTGAAGGCTAACTGGCTATCTATCTAGAGCAGGCTGGGGAATGTCTGGCCCGTGCGCCATGTAAGGCCTGAGAAATCACCAATGTCAGCTAACATCACACGCCTCACCATACTCCAAACCAAACTTACTGTCATCGAGGAGCGACAGTTCAATATGTCACCAAATACAGCAGACTCATTTTTAACTTGATAACTGTGTGGCGCTCACGAATGAAGTTATGAAGACCGAAATGGTCCTCAGTAGAAAAAGGTTCCCCAACTCTGATTCAGAGGGTCTAAAAAGGGGACAGACAGTCCATGGTGAGGTCTAACATAAACCGCAGAGCCCAACAAGGCTGCTGGACTTCTGGCAGATATACACACAATAGAAAATTTAAACATGAAGCACTGAATGTTTCAGACATTATTAAGAGTCTAAGTACATTACGAGTATATAACACCTTACCTTTTACAAAGAATCTCACATATGCTATTTCATGTGCGCTTCAACAATATATAATGTAGACAGGACTGAACAGAAGAGTTTTGAATCCATGTTATCATTTCCCTAGGTACCGTATATACTCGAGTATAAGCCAACCCGAATATCCACCAAATCAGCTAATTTTACCACAAAACAGCATTAAAAACATGCTGAAAACCTAAGCTTACACTCGAGTATACACAGTAATACGTAATCTATACAGCAATACACAAATAACTTGCATGTGTTTACACCGCGTGCTTTCAAAGTAGACAAGTGATACCATCCCTGAGTTTCTAAGTAAATCATGTCATTTCTTTTCAAGCTTAAGGCTTGCTTTTGTATAATCTTTTTGAACGTGCCAGGGACTGCATAAAGAACAAACAAGGCGCCTTGGAAGAAGTGCACCAGTGTGCTTCCTAGGAGGACAGGATGGCGAGGCTTTGTGCCATGTACTTGTGTCACACTGTCAGAGGGACCAGTCCTTGGGGTGGGACATCATGTGTGGCAAAGCACAGGTGCCGTGGAAAGAGGAAGACTCTCGACAAGAAGGGCGGACGCAGTGGCTGCATGCATGCTAGGCTCAAACATAAGAACAACGGTGGGACGGTGCAGGACCGGCAGATTTCTTCCTGCTGTATACAGGGTGGTTATGAATCAGAACCAACTTAAAGGTCCCTAAAAACACCACCACAACTCTTTTTGTCAGCAATGATGGTTTCGTTATTATCAGCTGCCTCGTTCTTTTGAAATAACTCGATAGAAAAAAATGTCAAAACATATAGCTAATGAGCAGAAAAGTCATCTTTCAACAGCCCCAAACAAACATCTTACCTTCCAGCTTTTCTTTGCTATCCTTTGAGAACCCATTCAAATGAATTTAAAACATTAGCCTCAACATTTGCAATTGCATAGTTCATTTCAACTCGGTAACATAGGCCGATTTTTATAAGTAGCTTCTTTGCATCTTTCTTTAATTTGTCAATTTGGAAGAAGCAGATCTCACTGCTGGCTGCATTCTATTTCTGTAAGAAAGCACTTTATAGTGTTTTCTTTGCAATGAACAATAAAATGGAATTATTCATAAACTACACTTCCCTTATGCAGCTGGGAAGGTAAATCAGATTTAACCATCATTCAATAGAATATAGTTGACAGTGATCCCCGTTAGAGTTACCAATGTCAAATTGTGAAATAACAACCTTTGTGATTATAAAGAGGAAAAAAAATGCTACAATGTAATTCAAGGGATAAAATGGACCATTTCAATGTTACAAGTTTTATTTCTGAAGCAAAAATAGGTAATTCAATTAAAAAAAACCCTGAGCATTAAAAAAAAAAAATCATCAAGGTTTTAAGAAAGAGGGCTCACCAGTCTGAGCGAAACCAAACGGGCGCAGCATCTCATGAGCGGACAGCAAGTTTGCCTGCTTTAACTTGGGCTGGGGTAAGGAGGATGCGGCTGAAGTTAAGGAGAGGTTTCTGTTGACCTGTAATGGGAAAGGCAAATCAGAACGTCAAATGTGACTTCCTGGGTTACGCAGAGCACAGTCGCCTGGGAGACATTTGCTTATCCTGCAACCAGAGCACGTGGTATCAGTCAAAAGGCTTGCCACTGATTTCTATGGCTACTTTTTAAACTACGAGACAAGGATTTTTAATCTTGGAAGGAACACAGTGCTGATGAAATCCTAACTATAGGAAAACCACTGTTTTGCTGTAACAGTCTGCTTGTCTTGGAACTGACACATCAATCATTTCCAGGAGCAGTCGCTTTTATGTTTAAAAACATGCAAAGAGGAGCTCCTCACAACTAAGGACTTAAGATGCTTCTCACTCACATTTTCTAACATTGTAGTGAAACAGCAGGCACTTCCTTTTCAGAAATGACACAGAAAACCTGTAAAATGATGTCTGTGCTTCAAGATGGCACAGAAAAGCAGCTGTATCTCGCTGCCCACGGGAACCCGTAGTAGTCTGAACATGACAAAATCTTATTCTTTGAGGCACACTTTTAAAACACCATGAATGATCATGCAGACTTTCTGTAAGTATACAGTGTTTTACAATGTACAATTTGTTTGAGTTCAGTGGTCTCAGAAATGAGTCTGTCCAAGGTTGTGGCATTAGCTCTTGTGGAAAAACAAAGAACAGTTCATACAACAATTTCAACTATTTATCGGTAAATTAATCTTCTACTTTAGAATCCAATTCAGGGATGATATAGCCTATTATTGAATTACTTGTTGTTTTTATGGCTTTTAAAAGTCACACTCAAGTCTCAAAATGTGTTCTAATTTGGGAAATGTGAGAGCTTGATTTTTTTAAATTTACTGCAAAGGTGTAACCTAGCTTAATGATATACACTTATGATACCAGTACATGTAATTTGTAATCAAAATCACACAGAGGACTACCACTGCATTCATACATAAAAATTTCCTTTTGGGTTTCTGTCAGAGATACTGCCCTTTATCTCACATTATCTCCATAAGGTTTGTGAGTGCTTCTTTCCAGCAGTACTTATAGCAAGTGCTGCCTCTCGGTTTTGTCTTGGAATAAAGTATTTTTTGTTGTTGCTGCATATTTGGGGATAGCATCAATTGGTTAAAAGACTACATTGTTTTCAAGTATATAAAACTCAAGTGATAATGTCATCTCACAGAGAATAAAATCGTTTACAAAGTAGTTCCAAGAGCCCCGGTGGCATAGTGGTCGCAAGCTGCGTTGCTAACTTCAAGGTCAGCAGTTCAAAACCAGCAGCTGTTCTCAGGGAGAGAGCTGAAACTTCCCACCCCCATACAGAGTTAGTCTCCAAACCCACAGGGGTCGTGGTTAAAAACTGCCCAGCTTTTGCAGTTCTATTAGGAAACATCATTAAGTACTTCTCCAAATTCATGTTGATTAGTTTTAGTATTAGCTAAAATAAGGCTGTAGTAACATTACATCTACAAGATTCAGACTGTGCCGTCTTTAAGTGCAGCAATGAAGGTGAACTGATATTACTACAATTACATGCATTAGCCATACCGCACTGAACAACATACCAAATAAGAAATGACTGAACAGGTTCTATAACCAAAGGATGGTGCCCTGGTGGTATGTGCCTTTTAAACCCATCAGCCCTTCCACAGGAGAAAGACGAGGCTGTCGGCGCCTGTAAGACTTACATTCTCAGAAACCCACAGGGTCATGGAGTTGAAATCAACTCCAAGGCAGAGCGTTTGTTTTCTGATTGTTTTATAATCAAAGGAAAACAAAGCTCCTTATAAATAATGTGCTACATACATACTAGTTACAGACTTCACGAAGTTCATGGCAGAATGGGATGAAAAGAGAATGGATTTTTCCCATGAACTTTGTGCTTAAAGGTAATCACTTAGGAGCAGTTAAGGTAGTAGTAATATGATGCAGTAAAATTTTCAGAGTACTATGCACTTAAATGGAAGTACTATATATAAAGTGACTTATTTACTGCTTTAACTATTTAATCCACTTCTCTTTTTAGAATCCTATTTCAGTTTTACTTCTGTGTTCTTGAAAATTTTTTATCCTACATGTCAAACCATGCATTTTGAAATGGGGAGCAATAGTCCAGGTGTAAGCAGAGATACACACACACTGCCTGTCAGTCTTCCACATTGGCAAGTTACTTGTGAGAGACCTGTAAAATGGCCAAAAGGCACTAAAACAAGACAGTTAGATGCCTTTGCGGAAACAGTTAATTCTTTGAAAATAAAAAGCTGCTTTGTCTTTTTGAAAACCGATGATCTAAAAGGAGCCTTGGTGGAATAGCGGGTTAAGCGTAAGACTGCTAACCACAAGGTCCTCAGTTCAAACCCACCAGCTGCTTTGTAGGAGAAAGATGAGGCTTTCTACACTGAAAGATTAGGAAACCCTAAGGAGCAGTGGAAATCACAGTGGTTGGGGGGTTTGACTCAATGTGATTTTTTTAAAGGTTCTATTATCAAAAATGACATGCTCTTTCTGAGAATATTCTGGACAAATATCTTTGGGGACTATTCAAATATTCATAAAGTAATGACTGGCAATTTAACAGGGTAGATAAATCCATCGTAATATACCAGGATAACTGTTAATTGCCATCATGATTTTAAATTAGAACTCTTATTAGTTCTAAAACTTACTTACACATATGCACTCCTTCATTTAGAGGAAGAAAATTAATAATAACCATTAAATTGAGTGAAGCAATATCTATTTTTGAAATATATGCTGTGGAACAGAATTGCTTAATAATTTTACAACAACAGAAAGGTTGGCTAAGATAGTCTGCCCTACACCAATCTGCTCTCTTTTCACAACACACATTGCTGCTTGCTTCATGCAAAAACCACAGTCTGCCAACGTCAGTTTAATATCTCCATATTGAGGAACACTTAATGCATAAAAAATGTAATACAATTTATAATAGGAGAAAATAAGGAGGAAAAAAAAACCCAACACCTAGAATTTCTGCCAAGAAACTGATTTCCCTGCTCCATTAAGGAATACCAGCTCTATGCAAAATATGCAAACATTAACTCTCCAGGAAGAGGTTAATTTTCATATTAAAGTCATTGTCACAGCAATACATGGAATGAACAGACAACTGAACAATCTGCTTCCCTTTTAGTAATTAGTTTATGTTTTCAAACCTTTGAGAGATAGAGCCCTTATTTTCATATACACTTGCAAATCTAATCACCTTTGCTGATTACCGCTCATGTGCTACATTTCCCTCAAGTAGAAATGTTTTTGAAGTTTTATGCTGTGAGGTCAATTCAAACTGGTTTTAAAGTTTAACGAGAAAACAAAGGTTTATACACTTCAATGTTCATCTCCTCTTTTCACAGTCCATTTTCCCCGTGAACTCTGAGAACCATACAGACAGCGCTCTACTTTGAAAAAGAAAACCCTCAAGGGGCACTGTGTGGCAAACCTCCGTCCACGGTCCGAAGCACAAGTGCCGTGTGCAGGAACGAAAGTGCCCGGGTGAGCGCCATGGTCTCCAAAGCCAGGTCCATGCCAACAAGACATCCGCTGGCAGGTGTCTTCTTTACCCGCTCGGCTCATCAAGGGAGAGACCAGGCAGAAACCCCGGGGAGATGCCAAAAAATGCCCATGCCTCATCCCAAATCATTTCATCACTACTGCCCTAACTAACACCAGGATCCCAATTTGGATGAGTCATTAAGAAGTTTTACTTTGCAATATTTAGGCAACAATTTTTGGACCTCTGATTTTTTAAAAATTCATTTTTGATTCTCCCTCGTGAAGCTCAAATCATTTAGCCAGCTTTTAGGGAAAGACAAATTCACTTGAATGCATCTTGGTTTTCCCCAAACCTCTACTTCCTTTTGCTTTTAGCACATTTCCATACTTCACAGAGGAAATTTGGCCGTGACCCTTCTGACCCCTTTCATCTGCCCTCTCCTTTCTTCTAACATCAGGGAAAGACGTGCCGTTTATTATCCCTTTATCCATTCCTGTGGGGACTTCCTTAAGGCTCTTCCAAATTGTACTTTCAAAACCTCTCCCAGCTAGTTTCCTCTAGGCCGTACCACCAACTAAACCTCTTTCTAGAGTTGATTCCAACTCGGGTGGCTCTGCCTGTTTCAGAGCAGAACTGTACTCCATAGGGCTTTCCAGGCCTTTCTTCCACACCACCACTGGATAGATTTAACCACTAACATCTTGGTAATAGCCAAGACTAGGCTGCACAACGCTGAGACCTTCGGCTATAAGCATTAACTACTACCACAGTAACCTTGTAGGATGGAGTGGAACTGCTTTTGAGGTTTCCAAGGCTGTGAATCTTTACAAAAGGAAAGAGCTTCATCTTTCTCTTGCAGGCTTTAAGAGTAGAACTTTCTAATTTAGTACCAAGTAAACAATTAAAAAAACAAAACCTCTCTCCCTGATTCCACATTTCCTTAAGTTTCATTAAAAGCCTGACTCCTAAGTGAGGCGCCAACTAAGTCCATATAGAAGAAGCATACTAGCTGGTGTGACCTAAGGATTGTAGATAATAGAATCCAAATGCAAAGGAGGGAATGGTATCAGAGCTTACATTCTGGACACCTGGTTTTCAAAGGGCTATGGGTGACAGTGGAAATCTCAAATCCATTTGCCAGGTCCCTCCCTGGATCAAGACTCTGGTGAATCTCCTCTGACAATATAGTCCATGGATGTGATTAGCCTATCAGACAGAGGGAGGGCATGGTAAAGTTGATCATGGTAGACGTACCGTATACACTCGAGTGTAAGCCAACCCAAATTATCATCTGAGGCACCTAATTTTACCACAAAAACTGCATAAAAAATGTGCCCCCAAACTCCGCTTGTACATGAGTATATATGGTACTGTTTCCCCGAAAGTAAGACATCCCCCGAAAATAAGACCTACTTAAAGTTTTGCTTCTCGCTGAATTATAAGGCATCCACCCGAAAATAAGACCTCTCCGAAATTAAGGCCCACCCCCGAAGC